AAACCTCCTGGCACACAGCGCACAGCGAGAAGCTGCACAATCACACACAAAACACAAGCCCGAAAAGAACCAGCACTGCTGGCACCCAGACGCGGCAGCGCCAGCCCAAGCGCGAAGCCGCGCAGACAAGCAGCCTAAGGGTCAAGCAAGCAAGCAACAAGCAGCAGGAGCATGCAGGAGGAATAAAATCCCTTAGACGCGATACCCGGAGGCAGCCGACTGACCACTGTCAGGAGTCGCTGCTCTTGTGGTAGCTGAGGTTGTTACTGCTGATGCCGCCGCCGCCGCCGCCGGCTTCGCGCGTGGGCTGGCGGTGCCGGGTCTGCTGACAGTTGCCAGCAGTGCTTGTTACCTCTGGTCTTGTTTTTTGTTTGTGTTTGTGCAGCTTCTCGCTGTGGCGCTGTGTGCATGCAGGTTTAGCTTGTTCCTGGTTTGTTTTGCTTGAGGCACTTTTTACCTTCTACGAGTAAAACTTCGCATCGCCGCCGCCTTTGCGCCTGCTCCGACTCCCGGAGTCCTTCAGCTGCTGCTGTTGAGGGGAACGCGACTGCGGCAGGAGTCGGGGATCCGAGGGGACCGCAGAAGTTGCTGCGGCTGCTGCTGCTGCCGCTGTCTTTTGGGCGGCGGTGGCTGCCGCACCCCCTTTGTCTGCTTCTTCCCTTGAGTCACTCTAGCAGGCAGGAGTAGGCAGATAGCGCTTGCCAGCAGTGCTGGTTGCTTTTGGAGCCAGAGGTTTACTCACACTCGGAATGCCAAGTTAGAAGCTGCACAAACACACACAAAAACAAGACCAAAACTGACTGACAGTGGCCAGTCGGATGTCTCCGGGTATCGCGTAGCAACCGTGAACAAGCAGCCGGAGGGGACGTCCGAGATGAAACTCCCTTAGACGCGATACAGCGAGATAGACTGTATGCTAGGATGTGAAACCCAAAGCATCATCCAGACTCAAAGGTTCATGCCAGGGTCGGCCCGCGGGCCGGCGGAGCGGCCGGGGCCGGGGCCAACTTCTCGGTGACTCATCACTGACTCACACTGGTGGGCCGTCGCGGCCTCATCTGACAGTAGGTCCGCCTCAGATGAATTACTATTGTCATAGCAAGACAGCAAAACTTCCTTTAAATTCACTAAATTCCGCCCATCCCACCCTCACCCCCCTCAATCTCTATATTACCCCCATTTCCCCAGGAATTTCACCCGGTACTTCAAGACTTTATCACCACCCCCTCCCCTCTTTGTCAAAATCCTGATCTTAAATCTGCGAAAACAGTTCTTTTCACGACCCCACCGTGCGGTCGTAGACTTCGAAATTGGGCAGGTGGATGGATGAGGGGGTGGGGTACTTCGTGTGCATGTAGGGGTCCTAAAGGCTTTCTGGGGTGTCAAAAGGTTGAGACATACCGGTCATATTATGTGTTATTTACTGGGTGATGGGGGGTGAAGGAAGAAATATCAGGGGTGCTATCGATAGTACACTGATTTTTAGGGGTAGTCACAAGCCCCCAGCTCTGGGGAAGGGGTAGGGGTGGGTGGATGGAACGGGTGGATCAAGGGGAAACTAGAGAAAAGATGTAGACGAAGCGATGAGAGAATGAGAGGAGGAGCAGGAGGAGCAGGAGGAGCAGTAGTAGTATTAGGAGGATCAGGAGGAGGATCAGGAGCAGCAGCAGGAGCAGCAGGAAGAGGAGGAGCAGGAACAGATGTAGCAGCAGCAGCAGCAGCAGTAGATGCAGCAGCAGCAGCAGCGGCAGCAGCAGCAGGAGAGGAGGAGGAGGAAGAAGATGATGATAATGAGGAGGAGGGAGAGGGAGAGGGGAGGACGAGGGAGGGAGGGAGGGAGGGGGGGAGATGAGGGGGAGAAGAGGAGGGAGAGGGAGATAGGGAGGAGCAGGAGCGAGAGGGAGGGAGAAGGGGATGGATGGAGATAGGAGCAGGAGGGAGGAGTGGGAGGTGAGAGAGAAGAGAGGGGCAGGAAGGAGGATGGGGTTGGGATGACGGAAGAGTGAAGCCGCTTGTAGCGAGCAACGAGGAGGAGAGAGGTGTAGTATTAGGAGGAGGGAGGTGTAGTATTTGGAGGGGGTTTATGTGAGGATAGGCAGGGGTGGTGAGGGTTTGTTGAGGTTCTATGACTAATTGTGCTTGCATGCCAGCGGCGGGGGATGGCGAAGCTTGCGAGAGCCTTTCCTTCTCCTCGTTAGCGATCGAGACTTGCAATGATGGAAGAAGAACTCGCGCCCGAGGACGACATCGTCCTCAACCTGCAGGCGAACCAGCCATGGCGTGGACCGCCGAACGCGTCGCTGCTCCCTCTGGTGTCTTCTGAGATGATGCCCAAGAGCATGGAAGAGACGTGGATTGGGAGCATGACGGGAAAACGAGGGAGGGAGGAGGGTAGGATTGAGAGCAGCGACGTGGACCTGAGCAAGACAGCACGGGATGTGGTGACGTCAGCCATGACATGGGCTCGCAAAACCTCAGGAGGATCGCGAGGGGCAGGGAGGGGGGCGGGGGCAGAAGGAGGAGGAGGAGGAGGAGGAGGAGGAGCGAAAGATATCCAGGCAAGCAAGCAAGTGTCTGCCGTCGCTCTCTGACTCTCCTCAGGCCCTCGAGAAGCACATCGAGTTTCTGCGGGCTGGACAAAAGTACACCTCCTCCCCGCACATGCGCGCAGCCTACGAGGCCGAGATCCGCGACCTTGAGCTGAAGCTGCACGAGCTCAGCAAGGTAGAGGCAGTGAGCGAGGGAGCGAGGGAGCGAGGGAGCGAGGGAGCGAGGGAGCGAGGGAGGCGCGCTAACTTTGGACGTAGGCACAGGGCATGCAGGGCGGCATGTCTGCGAGAGGTCCAGGGCAGGAGATGTCGCGGTGGTTGCCCACGAGCGTTCCCGTGCAGAAGCCCGCGGTCGCATCCCCCACAACCGCTCGAGGAGGAAGCTACTCGTCGTCCTCCATGCCTCCTCCGAGCAGCGCTGGTACGCGAGGCGGCAAGTTGACGGACTGGCAGAACTTTCCGAGTTACTCGGCGACCAGCTCGAGTCTGATGCACAAGTGGGAGATGCTGGCGGAGATGGCGAGCAGTCAGCAGTCGAGCGAGATGAAGCCTTCCCCTCCTTGCGATCAGAGCAGCTCCATCTCCAGCCCGCACGCCTCCCTCGAGTCTCTTGACT